AATGAACACAAGAGTAAAGTATATCCTTCCTACCCTATAAGAAAAAGTAACACCAATAAAAACAAAATGAAGAATAATGAGTCATTTTATAAAGTTAGGAAAATTATAGTTATATTTTCATGCTAATTAGAGAATTGATATAATTCAGTAACTTAATTTTGAGAATAAGGTATAGGCGACAAACTGGTTCAACAAATGGGCTTCTTTATCTTAATGAAGTTAAAAAAAAGTGTTAACTATTGCTGAAGTTCCCAAACTAACAATATCCTAAAAAATGACTATATGGTAGAAGCTAATTCATAAACAGTATGAAACCTTTCACTATTAGCATGAACTAGTATAAAATATTTAGGAATGAGCAACATGAAAATAGTACCTGCACAGCTAAAATAAAGTTCATGCTTATAGTATTCGTAAGATTGTTATTCCTATAGCACTTCAGGAAAATTAAAGAGGTGTGTCATTCTAGTAAGAAATTCGTAACAGAGATAGTTACACATTTCTATAAACACGCATCTAAACTTGCCTTTGTTTTCACTATCACAAGTATTCTGATGACTTTTCTCATCTGTACAACATTAAAAATGGTTACTGTTAATTAGCAACCACAGCTTAAGAGGCCTCTTATGCTACATACACCATTAAAAAATGCATCCACGAAAACACAACTCATGCACAACCTACACAACGGCATTGCTTTCACACAATGTTAAAGGGCAGGATAAAAGGAACATGAAATATAATTTATTATTCATGAATAAGAAATGATGAGTTAAAAATGATAAAATTATATCTAAAGTTATTCTTCATTGTTCAACAAAATTTATTTTTTTTAAATGACAGCTTAGATAAGTTTAGGATTTAAATCTAAGCTTCAAATGAAATAGTAAAAGTTGGATAAAAAAAGCCTGTCAGTATATTTATTGACTGTATAATATTTTAAGTTTTAAAATCCTTTTGGGAACATCCTGACAGAGAAAGTGGAAAAATTATGATATGTAAATAAAATAGGGACTTAAAACACCAAAATGAAATTGTCACCAAAACCATTCAGAAAAAGAACTTTTCCATTTAGGAAAATTATGATGGTCAACAAATACTAAAGCAATATTGAGTTGGGATGAAGAAAAGGACCCCATAGTTCATTGTTTCTATTTTAAGAATAAAAATTTGTGGATAGAATGATGATAAGAGTGTTCAGAATTAAAATTTGGAATTTATACTCTGCTTTATATTTACTTGTAATTTGCCCCTACAAAATCAAAATTCCTGAAAGAGGAGCTGGGACTTAAAGGTACCTTTACTCAGTGTAACACATGGTAAAACACAGCATTTTAGTAGGTGCTCAATTAATATTTTTGAATAAAAAAGTGAACTAAATGTAAAGCTGGGGAAAAGATAAGTATAAATCATGGTTAGAGGCATTATCTATCATTTTAGTTTGATTAAACATTAGAAAAATGTTCAAATGGGTAAATTAAATATTCATTCATTAGCTAGATAGCTTATAAATATCTCTCCATTAAAAATTAGGTAATTTATTTTAAAATTAGTCTTGAAAAATAATGTTCTTTTTTACACACTTATAAATTTTAAATCGGTACACTTATAAATATAGAATTTAAAAGTGAAAAGACATACTTCTAAAACATTCCATTATTTAGTTCAGACACACAGACAGACCTGCCTTGACCTCTTCACCCTCCTTTTCTACCCCCTGCTCTTCCACATGCTCAGTTTCTTCATTAACTTCTGTATTTGCACAAGTAAAAGTAAAAAAAAAAAAGACGAGAGATGTATATTTATTACTCTTTTTTATTACTCTTAAGTGAAACAAAACAAAGCATTGCAAACTATTTATGATATATTAGTGATTAGGAAAAGACTAACAGAACTTTTAACAAGTTCCTGAAATGTTTTGGAATCAAAAAGTATAACAATAAATGATCATATTGTTGTCTTTTGTAATGACTTTGATTTATAAAAGAGAAACTGTGGCCCCTAAAATATTTTCAATATGTGAAAACTGTATAAAGTATACAAAAAACTTTGTGTATGAACTTGATACATTTTTATAAAACTAAAATTATAAAATGCCACTACATCAAAGTTAGGGGAAATTAAAAAAAAATAATAATGCCTTATAGTTGTTTAGTACATTATGCTTTCATTGTATTGCTCCTATTTTCTCTGGTTTTCAGACAAAGAGGGATGACTAACGTTTTACCACCATCAAGATCAATATATATTAAGCTTTAAATTAGTTTAACTAACAGACTAAAATATAATCAAAACAAAGAGGTATTAAATTAGGACTTGCTCAGTTTTTAGCCATTGAATAGGATTAAAAAATAAATATGTCATTACTTTTCCAAAATAATACAATTAAATGGCAAATTCTGATAATTTTATTTAGAGACAATTTAAACATATGTTGATTTAGACTATCAATTAATAGTCTATTTTGGGTTAGGTACCTTTCATTTCAGTTATAAGTTCAAGACTTCTCAAGAAATATTATATATCTCCTTTAAAGCTAAAGAAAATTACATAACCATGTATCTACTGATCTTCATATCAACCTTTATAAAAACACTGTTAAAATCATTTACAATTTTAAGCAAAACAAACGAAAACCAAAAAATCCCTTTACTTTCACACTGGAGAGGACAGGAGAGGTTTCGGCCCTCCTGTCTAATTTGTAAAACTGGGAAAGTCACAACTGGGGACGTTAGAGGAAAACTGGCCTCCACAGACTCTACAGGGCAGAAGACAAATAGTAAACAGAATGTTTGCCGAGAGCCCATTCAAAACTTCTCAATCCTGATTTTCAGTATCAATACTGGTTCAGTTTTCTGGTATATTTATTATTACAAAGCATGTACATACTCATATTTCAATAGACAATTGCTATAAAACATATTAAAATTGAATTCACAAAAATTGCTATATAAACTATGTTTCTGACTTCATATGCCATTAAATAACATCAAAATTCTACCTTGGAATAAAAAGGATTGCATACATACTGCAGAACTTTCCTTCTGTAAAGTACTTTTAAAATTATATACCCCATTTTAATGCAAATAATTGAGATGTATAGAAATGCTAAAATCTTTTTATCAGGCCACATAACAGACCATGAGTCACTATAGCATTAAGTTGTTTAAAATCAAGGCACATAGCAAACACAAATAACCACAAAATAGACGTTGATAAATCATTCAACTACGACTAACAAGAACAAAACTTGTTCCAAGTTATATAAGGCAAAAACAGTATTTCTGTCCAAACGCAATGCAGTTGAGAATTTTTTACAAATAGGTTATAGAATATGAATTTGAATATATTTTAGGATGACAAGATTATTTTAGTGGTGCTTTATACACTACCTGGAGTACCTTTTCGGTTTTTAAATAAATTTTTCATGCATTCATTCAACAAATATTTATTGTGGGCCTATAAGGTGCCAAGCATTCTTCTATGTGCTAGAGATTACTTAACAAATAAAGCAGTTAATTCTTTAAAGTTACAGAGTTGATTTCTGAGTTGTATAATTAGCAGAGAAATTTTTATAGTTCTGTGTCACGAGTCAGTGTTTTCTCTGAGTCACAATGCACTGTGACAATAAATCTGCACGCGTATCACTTTGATATGCTGTGAGCAATCTTGCTACAACGTGAAAAATTATGGAGGAAATACAAACCACAATCACTATCTAATTCAACAACTTCCTTTTCTAGAAAGCCAAATCTAATAATTAAAAGATCATCATAAATACAAAATGAAATATATGATGATAACTGTAACTAGACTAGGTGCACACCCTCAACAACATAAACACAGACTGCAATTGATATCTTTGATTAAAGTATTGCAGAAAACAGAATTCTGCTTAAAAGGCAAATTAAATTTTTTAAAAAGAGAAAATTTTATCTAACCATCTAAAAGAAATTAAACCCTGTGCATTCTTACTTGACTGAATCAAAGAAATTTAACTTTTTGGCATAATTTCCAAGTAAAAGTTGAATAGTTTACTAGAAACCATGAGACAAAATTATTTGTACTGTATATCAAACTATTCAACAGAAGAATATCAATTACAGTGGGTTTATTTTTGCTTACAAAGCCCCCCAAAAAGGCTGTCAGCACAAAACAAACCCTCCTTAATGTACAGACCTTCATAAGGTTCTATCTCCTTGACTTCATTGTCTAGGAAAAACAAAATAAAAACAAAACAAAAAAGGGAACCAAAGCACAGGGGTTAAAAACAACAGAAATTTCCAAAGGCACAGAACGTATCAACTATTAAAGAAAAGTTAAATGGTGATTTAATTTGGGGGGCAGGGCACAGCACATCCAATTACTATATAAAGGGACCATTTCAAAAATAACAATAAAAATTACTATATTCTATCATCCCATGCTTTAAAAGTCCTTTTAACTAACCAAGACTTTATAGATGTTTGGGGAGTATGTTCATCTGTGTGTAAGCAAATAATGCTTCTTATGCAAATATTTGAAAGTATTAAAATGATCAGTACAACATGCATCTTTCTTTGCATATTCATGATTACCTTTCTCTGGCACTCCAGTTTTGAGAAGGGTCACCACTGTTGTGCATCAGCTAACCAGTCCTTTGCAGTGTGTGAAAATTGATTTGGCTCGTTACTAATAAACTTTTTATAACTATCAACAATTACATAAACTTACTTGTAGCAAAATAATATCATCCAACTGCTTATTAAATAAGAGCATTAAGTTTACTTTTTAAAATATATCAAGTCAAAATTTGTAAAATGCACAAGATCAATCATGTTAGGTTCTTTTACCTGCAAATATTACAACTTTTAAATGCAAAATATATAATAATTACTGGCAAACGCAGCTCAGGCATTCAATTAATGAAAGAAGAAATCTAAGAAAGGTAGTAAAGAAATCTTGATTCACCTTATTTTCCATGTGTATTCCTACATGACGTAATTAGAAATAAAACTTACTTCTCTCCAGTGTCCCCTTTGGTGGAAGTTGTGGAAGTTGCCGGCCCCTACGTCCTGCCACTGGAGTGCTTGATGGGCTTGTCTGGACAGACCCAGTACGAGGATGAGACCTACAAGATGCACCATTAATATTCACTTTCAATAGAATGAGCTAAATACTTTAAATACATTTGGTTTATATGATAGCTGTATAAATGCAATTTTAAAAGAAGTTTAGCTGCTGATTAAAAGGTTAGGAAAGTAGACACACTATGGATATTTGGATGATTATCTAAATAGCCAGAGACGTTTAAACTTTTGTGTAATATGCGTACATACACAGATACATGCACAGAAATCCTACAGTAAAATCCATGGAATTATTAATGTAAAGCAATATTCTATCCATACAAAAGCAAGAGGAGAATTCTGCAGCTCAAAAAAAAAAGGTAATGCTTTATATTGTTCTCTCCCAGATTTCAAACTCTTAACTCTAAAATCTCTCCCTTGATCCAAAGAGATTTTTACTCAGGCTTATAACAGATATCCCTTTATAAGAAAACAGCTGATGAAACTACAAATAAAACCCCAAACAATTCAAAATTTAGCTAAAGAAGACAATGGTCAACATATGATATTAGTATTGATAAAAGAAACGAAAAATCTAGTTTATTTGCCATTATGATGATTATTCCAACAGTGATGTCTAATGAACACAAACAATTTCTCATTCTGTAGGAGAAGAACATGATAGTTATGAGGTGCATCATGTGGGGATTTACCCAGAACTCCTGATAAATGAGAAATCACAAAACAAATGCAGTCAGGACAGTTGTTAAACATTTTACAATGGTAGCCACACACTATTATATCCGCTGAATATAAATAGTGTGCTTACACTGAAAAGGTTAGTATCAACTGTTACTAGTGATCAGCCAAGGATGATAGAGGAGACCATTTAGTTGTTGGGAAAATAAAATGGTGTGTCGGTGGGGCACAGGGGAGGTTAGTCTGAGTGATTTATCTTTCACCTCGATAAGGCAGGTGAAGGAGGGGCAGATCTTCCAGTCATTAATGAAGGCATCGACCTCATGAGGTTTGTGTCAGGACGCTCAGTGGATCTGGAGCGGGTGGTGGTCCGCTCTAGGAGAGGCCGCTGTTCTGTTGATCTGGATCTGTGATATGGCTGTCTATCTGCTGCTTCACAATCCCTGAAACGTTAGTCAAAAAGCAGCTCAGTTGATCTTCTGTGCCCTTCTGCTACTTGGTTATGATGCATTAAACTGATTTTGAAAAAAGTAATTGCTTAAAGTCACTGAGGATGTAAGAAAAATCCTCTTCCCCAACATATTCTGAGAAAATGCTCACTAAACTTTAAGATTTTCTAAGGAACCAAAATCTGTCTTTCATATCAATTCTCAGTGAAGATAATAGAAGTTGTTCAGTTATAATTAACAACAAACCAAACTGCCTGCTTTCCAAAGTGAATTGCCTTTGGCACATGTGAAATATGTAAAGTATTCTATTTTAAAAGAGTTCAATGAGTTTTTCAAACTATTTCAAAGGAGTGGAAAAAAACATACAAGCACTATTATTCTCAAGTCCCTAAGGCTGTTTACTGAATAAGATATAAAAAGTCTTTCAACACAATCATAGCATACTGACACATTGAAACAGAAGACTCAAAATATTATAAGAAAACAGAGCTACTTTGTAGTCTGTAGCCATATTTAAACATGGTCCACAGGAAAAACCACTGCATGGAAAACTGGTCAGTCAGCCAGTCCATGCCTTCTCTCAGTGCACTTTGGCAGTGATGTCAACCAATACTCTTCAGAAAGGGTATTAATTGATTGAAATAATAATGGTTCTGAAACAATGTGATCTCTTTGACCACAAATAAACCAATATCAAATCCCAGTCCTTGTTGAAAGAAGTATACTGAAATTTAAGTAATCTATCATTATTGGGTTTTTTTTATCCATGGAGTTTAGCCTAATGCCTTTATACCTGACATGTGGCCCATAAACATTCTGTAATATGAGCCCCATTATCAGTGAGATGACCCTAATAATACTAGCTTTGACTCTAGAACTCCAAAGTATTGCATAATCCAACTTCTCCTTCAAATCAAGCTATCACCTCTCCACCTAGTTGTAACTGCAGAAATAGAAATGCTTATGTACTATAGATAGATGGTAAAGCAAGACTAATGCATCAAAGATGTCCACTTTACCCATACATTCTCTCAATCTTATTTTTGATAATAAAAATGTGAACAATTAAAAAAATAAGAAAAAAAAAAGACAATTTCCCATATGTAATTAATTATATGGCATATAATTTCAAACCAGAAGATTAGATATTAGAAGTGAATTTATTCTATGATGCATCCTATCATTATCTTATACTTTAAATTCACAAGGTAATATATGTCAAATAATTATTTAATATTTTAAAGTCCATATACCATAGTGTGATTGATTACCTAAGATAATTTCAGTGTTTTTATATGTGTATTCAGAATACACCAAAAAATTGAGCTGAAATGTAGATACATATACAATACTGAATTACTCATCAAAGAAAGGAGAAAAGGCAACTGGATTGTTTAAAAATTCATAATTCTGCCCTGGCTGATGTGGCTCAGTGAATTGAGCACAGGACTGTGGACTGCAAGGTCACCAGTTCCATTCCTGGTCAGGGCACATGCCTGGGTTGCCAGCCAGGCCCCGGGTTGGGGGTGTGTAAGGCAACTGATCTGTACTTCCCTCACGTTTCTCTTTCTTCCTCCTTTCTCCTCTCTCTAAAATAAATAAATAAATAAACAAACAAACAAATAAATAAGTCTTTTTAAAAACCCTCATAATTCTATTTTTATTCTAAAAAAACTATTTTAGAGAAAACACTTCTCTTTAGAAATATGTTCAATAATTTGTTAAATGTTCTCAGTGTACATATCTTTAAATGTCTTCATTGCAAGAGATAACCATAATCAAAGGGATATACATATCTTACAATCCTTAAAATCCATTTCTGGAGAGTTTCAATATTTATATTATTTTCAGGGTTCCTATTATCTTAAGTTAATAATTGACTTATATCTCATTATAGCACATGTAGTAACAAAACTTTGTGGAATATCTCTGAGTACACAAACAGAAATTTAGGCTCTTTCGTTTACACAAAATTTGATTTATTCTGATCCCATCAAGCAATTTTCCCAAGTGGAAAGTGAAATATTAGGATATACACTTTCACTTCCTTGACACTATTTTTAATAACTGAAATATATAATTGTGAGCAAAATCTACAGAATCACTGAATTGTGTTACTATGTTCTATGTCCTTTAAAAGGTACTGTTATTTATAAAGCAAATGGGTCATGTCTTAGGAAATATCCTTTGGAAGTATATCTTTCAATGAAAAAGTTGTCCAAAGACTACAGTCAGTTTTAAATTTTACTTATATTGTCTCTCCATTTCATAAATTACATGACTTCCACAGTGTGAAATGAAAAAAATCCGTTATTAAGTAAAACATGAAAAGAACCACAGAAGGTGGCAGAAATTTCCTGAAGTGCTCCACCATAGTTAAGAGGAATGGAGAGCTACTATATTTTACATTTTGATTACACAGTGAGAAGGTCAGGATAGTTCCTGCTCCCACAAGGGCGTAAGCATTTGCTGACATAACTGAAAGCAGCAGACAAAGCCTAAGTCTCGTATACAGTGCCCAGTCTCATAAATGATTTTTAAGGGATTGAGATATAAAACTTGACAACCTGCACCTAACCTCTTAGTGCATTTTTAATTTTAATTTTAAGCTAATATAAACAATTCTGAGTAATAGCAGCTGAGATATAGGAAATACTAGATTACCATTTATAATGCCTAAAATACTTTAGCGCCTACCTGGGATTCTTAACTTGGGGTCTATAATTTAATGGAAGCAATTTCTTTTGCCACCCTACTTATTCACTTTATTTTATGCATTTTAAAATAGCATTCAAAAAGATAGTCATATGTTTTAGAAGACTGCTAAAGGGGAAACCATTTAAAAGTTTAGGAAGCACTCAACTATATATTTAAATCCTTCTTAGGTAAATAATTAGGTTGTCTTTCAAAAAGTACATTAATATATGTCATGATTCTATCTTTTTAATAAAGAGTTTATATTTTCTAATATATGTTTAAAATAAAGGTCACTTTTTAAATTTTATTTTATTGTTGTTCAATTACAGTTGTCTGCATTTAGCCCCCACCACTCCCCCGACCCCAGTCAGACCCACCTCCCTCCCTTGCTTCCACCCCCCACCCTTGGTTTTGTCCATGTGTCCTTTGTAGTTGTTCCTGAAAACAGAAATGGTTCACTTTTTATATGTGCCATTTACCTGGACAGATTACTGCTCTGCCAGATTTAGTGGCCACGATTCCAGATTACAAGCATTTGGAGAGGATATGGCTGACTAGCCCTTCTGCAAATAAAGCTAATTCATATTGACTGATAGTAACTATAATAAGAACCAGTATTTGTTATACTAGCTTTAAAAGCATATGATAGCATATGATTTTGAGATGAGGATTTCTAAAGAAAAAATAATTTTAAAATCTTCTAGTGAAGCTGGTCCCTTTGAGTCACTTTTCCTCTTGGTACAGCCATTTTTGAAAAATTTAAAAAATTTCCAAGTGCACTGGCTGGTGTGGCTCAGTGGACTGAGTGCTGGCCTGTAAACCAAGGGGTTGCTGGTTCGATTCCCAGTCAGGGCACACGCTTGGGTTGTGGGCCAGGTCCCCAGCTAGCGGCGTGCACACAGGAGGCAACTGTACATTGATGTTTCTCTTCCTCTTTCTCCCTCCCTTCCCTTTTCTCTAAAAATAAATAAATAAATGTTTAAAAATATTTTTCCAAGTATATGGCACAGCTTCCTACCTATTTCTTCATTTTTGCTACCTATTTACCTTTTCTAAATCAAAGTGCGGGCAGTTATGCAGTCTAACAGGAAGAACAGGCCAGTGGACATTCTTTTCTATAACCACTTCTATCAACCATCACAAGGATACAACTTCAAATCAACATAGGCTCAATATACAGTATCTCTCTAGATATGATACAAAATAATAATATACTCAAAAAATACAAAATAACCAGCACAATGCCAGATTTTGAAGTAATACTCAGATATATCAATGACAATAGTTATTGAATGTAAATTAGATCTTGTAGTCTATAGTAAACCAGTCTTACTTCATGTTTATATAGTAAATAATGTCATAAGTAAATCTAATTGGTTTTCTTGAAAAATAAACCTGTAAAAAGTAAAAGATGTTCGGGAATTTTTTTATAAAGAAATTACGAGTTTATAATGCTGAAATCTTTTTAAAAATGGATGTATCCTGGAGGACAGTAAGTATAATCTCAGGAATGGGCCCAGAAATTCTTTCCCTGGATCTGCACTGTATGTGGTAAACTGATTAACACCAAAGGCATTATAATTTTGGTAAGTTATCTTGAATGTCTAGAGATTTTTCTGAACATCAGTTACATAATATAAGAAATAAATGCACGATACAATCTTTAAAGAAAACATTTTAGGGTAATTAATATAACATGGCCTCCTGATGTCTTCTATCAGTTGTCAGCAGCCTTACCTGGAAATCTGATCTTACAGAGCTGTTAAGTTTGGGTGTAGGCCGTTCATTTAATGGGTACTTTTCTATTAATTTTACAGTAAGCTGCTTTTTGACCCTGTAGACTGACTCATCAAAATACTGGTAAAAAAGGTCATGCTCTGAAGCAGCAGCTCCAGGTCACTTTGCATGTAGAATTTTTTTTGTCTTGAATAAATATGGTTGGGAGAAAAAATGTCAAATGAAAATTCTAGAAATAACTGAAAATAGAACACAGCAAAATATTGGAATATTAGCTTGGAGTCATTTTATGGAGATTTGAAATGCCTAGTTAACAGGTTTAGACATTTCATTTAATTAAATAAAAATTAAGCCCATTTAATTTTCATTTAATTATTGATTAATTCATTTAATTTTCAATTAAAGTCACCAAAAGCTTTTGAACAAAGGTACGTTTTAGGTAACGAATTAAGAAGATGAATTCAGCTGTACTATATAGAATGAATTAGAGTAGGAAAAGGCTGATTTGTAGTAAGAGCAGTAGAAATCAAGAAGGGACATGAAAAATATTAAAATAACAA